GGGTCAAATGGGACTTCCAGTCCTAGTTCTTTGAGGTATCTCCATACTGATTTCCACAGTGGTTGCACCAGTTGACACTCCTACCAGCAGTGGAGCAGTGTTCCTCTTTCCCCACTGCCCTGCCAGCATTTGTTATTGGTTGATTTCTTGATAGCAGCTATTCTTTCTGGGGTGAGGTGGAATCTCCGTGTTGTTTTCATTCGCATCTCTCAAATGACCAGTGATGTTGAACATTTTTTCATATGTTTATTTAGTATGTCTACTTTGTGTGAGAAGTATCTGTTCATTTCAGATGCCCATTTTTGGATTGGGTTTGTTAATTTGGGAGGTCTGATTTTTTAAAGTTCTTTATAGATTCAAGATAGACCTTTGTCTGAGGGACCTCTGGTGAAAATTTTTTCCCACATTGTGGGTTGTCTCTTCACACTGCTGGTAGTTTCTCTTGCTGTGCAGAAGCTTTTTAGTAAAAAGAGATACCACTCATTGACTGTTTGTGCTAGTTTACAGGCAACTGAGGTTTTGTTGATAAAGTCTTTTCCTACCCCAGTGTCTTTAAGAGTTCTACCTAACCTCTGTTCCAGCCGGTTTAGCATTTCTGTTTTTACATTTAGATGTTTAATCCATTTCGATTTTAGTTTAGAGCATGGTGAGAGATATAGGTCTAGTTTTAGTCTTTGCAAGTTGAAACCCAATTTCTCCAGCACCATTTATTAAAGAGACTATCTTTCCTCCAGTGAGGATGTTTGGCTCCTTTGTTAAAGATGAGGTGGCTGAGTGTCTCTGGAGTTGTTTCTGCATCTTCTAATCTGATCCACTGGCCCTCAGGTCTGTTTCTTTGCCAGTACCATGCTGATTTTATCACAGTAGCTTTGTAGTATAGTTTCAAGTTGGGGGTTGTAATACCCACTGTCATGTCTTTGTTACCTAGAATTGCTTTTGCTATTCTGGGTCTCTTTTGTTCCAAATGAATTTTTGGATTGTTTTCTCAAGGTCCATGAAGTATGATGGTGGGATTTCAATTGGGATAGCACTGAATCTATATAGAATTTTGGAAGTGTAACCATTTTCACTATGTTGATCCTTCCTACACAGGAGCAAGGGATGTCTTTACATTTTCTGATATCCCCTTCAATATCTTTTTTCCAAGTGCTATAGTTTTCAAAGAAGAGGTCTTTGATTTCTTTTGTTAGGTTGATTCCTAGGTATTTCAGTTTTTTGCATGCTATTGTGAGAGAAATTGTTTGCCCTGTTTCTTTCTCAGTAAGTCTGTTCTTCGTGTAGAGGAAAGCTATTGATTTTTGTGTGCTGACCTTGTATCCAGCTACTTTACTGAATTTGGTTATTAAGCCTAGAAGACTTGGTGGAGTTCTTGGGGTCTTCTATATACAGTATCATGTCAACTGCAAATAATGACAATTTGACTTCTTCATT